TATATATATATATATATATATATATATACACATATACACACACACACACACACACACACATACACACACACACATATATATAATATATATATATATTATATATATGTGTGTGTGTGTATGTGTGTGTGTGTGTGTGTGTGTGTATATGTGTATATATATATATATATATATATATATAAAACATTTCATTAAATCATCACAACATTCCAGAACCAAATGTAGAAAGTGAGGGGCAGGAAAGTTAAATTATGTGCTCAAGGTCACAGAACAGGAATTTGAATACAAATCTTTATGACCCTAAAGCCCACGCATCTTTCACTGTATGAAGAAGTTGTTTATCCACGTGTATGTATGCTGTATGGTCTATTAAACATTGATTTTCATAGGAGTAATCTCAAACTACAGCAACAGCAACCTGTAAACTTACTGTATGTGGAATTACTGTTCTTTAGTGTGAAAGAGTATGCTTTGAACTATGTGGGGGAAAAACACTATTTTCTTTGAGAGCATATGTCAGAAGGTAGCATCTGGACGACACTGCATAGGAGAGCTAGGTCATACCAGGAGATGGTCAACACATTTTTGACAGTGATATATGGGGGCTGCTCAAGTGTTGGCGAAATCAATCAGGGTATTGTTTTCTTTTTTAAACTTTAAGAAAACATTTGCAGTAAGAACAGTTATCTAGCTCGTGGGGTGTGTGACAGAACTGTTTTTGTGCGGCATGTTACCCGTTATAAGGTGACAGATAAACCCAGACTAATGTTATTTGATTCATTACAGTTCTGTGACTTGGCATAGCAGGCGATAATTCCATTTTACAGACTAAGGGGCTGAAATACAGAGAAGGTTCAAGATCACACAGTGGTGGGATCTGGACAAAAAATATATGTTGTAGCAAAATGTAGTTCTGTATAGTGGGAATTGATTTGTTTTTGCCCTGCCCTTCAGAGTCAGCAATTAATTATATGGACCTTGTGTGCTCCTTCTTCAAAAATAATAGTGGCTAGGTTTTTCTTTGTCCCTTGCTTGGTCATTTGACTTGCTTTCATTTATGATTTATGTATTCTCTCTCAAGATATGCAACTCTTGTTATTGTCTCAGGAGGCAGGTTGCTATAGTACAAATGCTCATAATCTCTTAAGTGCTGGAATAGTGTTTAATGGCAGACAGGAACATAGTCATCTTAGCTCATTGTTTCTAAAGTATTGAACCATTTGCATTGGAGAGTTCTTTTTAAAATTAATGGGGACATTAATAGACAAAAGCCCACTGCCTAAAGAAGGCCATAAAATGGAGGCGCGAATTTACATTTGTTGTTCTGACCAGACTGTAAGAGAAGTAGGGTGTTGTGATGAGTCTTAAGTTTGATTTCTAGGAGGCCATTTCTTTTAGTTCGTTATATGGCTCTGTAGACTGTCCTGAACCTTGGTGTGAAACATCTTGTAGTCCAATCTGGTTAATCCGAAGAGGGACAGCAGAATGGTGTGAATGAATAAGCAAAAATACAATGCCGCTGCTATTTTTTTTTTTTAAAGGAAAGTGCATGTTTTAGTGGTGGAAGGTCAGCAGGATATTTTAAAACTGAAGCAACACATTTTATTTAGATATCATTACTGAGAGTGTGAATTTTATACAGACTTGGCTTTAGAACTGCCCCCCCCCCATGTATTTATTTGTCAAATGACTACCTTCTGCAGACCATCTGAATTTTTGACTTCAAGAAACTTAAAGTCTAGCTGGGAAGATATTTAGTTATATATGAGTAATTAACAAAATGATTAGAATTGACTTAATACCAGAAAAAGGTGATTAGCAAACTTGAGTGCTATGCCAATACCTTCAGGAGAAGGAGAAATAGTAGAGGGTGATCAGAGCTTCAGGAAAATCTTCATGGGTAGAAGTGAATTCAGTAACTGAGAGATGGGAAGGATTTTGATAGCCAAAGAGAAAGCCAGAAGAGAGGTTCAGCTGAGAAGTGCACATATACACGTTTGGACACACCATGACAAGTTATGAAGAACCTTGAATATCAGACACTGAAATCTGCTTCTTATCTGGTAATCATAGGGAACTAGTGTATATTTCTTTTCTTTTTTTTAAGTATTTTTATTGATTTATAGAGAGAGAGAAAGAGAAACATCAATGTGAGAGCATAACATGGATTGGCTGCTTCCTGCATGCCCCCTACCGGGGATGGAGCCTAAAACCTGGGCATGTGCCCAGGCCTGAATCGAACCACCAACCTTTTGGTGCACAGGCGACTCCCAACCAACTGAGCCACACCAGCCAGGGCATGGTGTATGTTTCTGGGCAGGCTCAGTTTCTCTTTGGCTGGTCTTGCTCACATTCTCCATATTCCTTGTTCTAAATGCCCTTCCAGAAAATGGTATATTTCCTTGCTACAGATATTAAAAGGATTAATTTCAACTAAACCAAGAAAAAGCTTTTATGCAAGTACAAGTTTTCTAAGGAAGTTTGCCTTTTTAAAAGCTTTCCCTCTCTATTATAGAATTATGAGCAATTTGGAAATTATAAGAATATACAGAGGGAAAAAAATCACCATAATCTTACTAATTAAAGACAACCACTATTAATAATATTTTTATGTGTATTCTTCCACTCTTTTTTCGATGCATAGTTTTAATCATGCTATGTATATTACTTTTTATATATTTTTTACTTTAAATTTTATAACATTAATTTTCACTTAATTACAGTTGGACAGTGAACATTTAAAATGCCTATATTATTTCCATTAGGTTGATGTATCATAATTTTCTAATCTTTCCTCACAGGCACTATATTGTTGATAGAAATAAACAACAGTGTGATGAATATCTTTGTTCATAAGCCCTTTTCTGTATTTTAGAAATCCGTTCCTTAAGATAGAGTCTCAGAAATAAAATTTCTGGGTCAAAATGTATGACTTCTTAGTTTGACTTTTTAAAAAAGGAGATATAATGGACATAAAACATTATATTAGTTCAAGGTGTGAGACCGAGCAAGTCAAAAGAATGTCTGTAGCCACCCGTGTTTGCAGTGAGTCAATGAGAACTGCCACAAGGCTTTGCAGTGGAGAAAGATTGGTTATTTTATTATGAATGTTGCCACCCAGGAGAACAGGAAGCTGATGCTCAAAAACCGGAACTCCTCTACGGTTTACAGACGAGGTTTTACAGAGCAAACTTCATGAGTGATCCTGGGTAATGGGTCTAGGGTCGTGGGCTGTGCTGATGTCAGTTTTTATGCAAGTTTCAGCAGTTTGATTTCTTCAGCTCCTGGTGGCATCTTGTCCACGTCTACCTGACTGTGGCTAAGTGGTTTCTAACAAAGAGGTCTGTAAGACATCTTGGGATTATGAGTTAGTGACATTATTTTAGGAGCAGAAAGAAAACAGATACTTCATGCTTAACAGGCTACATTCTTATCTTAAGTAGAGTATGCCTTCTAAAACTTGCTGTATAAG